AAGTAGAGCTGTGAAAATAGTGAATCGAACGTAGAGCATAATTAAATACTCATTTGATTATACGGACAATAAAAAAATGTTGAATAACCTTAAAGGAGCATGAAGACCTCACCTACACAGACATTCCCACTGATTGATTGATTGATTGATTGATTGATTGATTGATTGATTGATTGATTAAGATTAAGCCACCACAAGAGGTGGCACGGGCATGAGTAGCCCGTAGGTGGTAGATGTTTGGAGTGAATGTGGTCTTTGGTCATGTAACATCTTGAAGTGTCTCTGGGCCTGTGATGAATAATGCTTGATGACTGACGAAGATTAAGCCACCCCAAGAGGTGGCATGGGCACACTCGATTATGAAAAACATAAGAATGGTGTTTAAAAGCTTAAGCAGAACTTTCCGACAGTCTTGTTTCGAAAATTCAGTCATCGTTAGACCATAACTAGAATATGCAACACCGGTATCGAACTCTCATGTTGTAATACACGACAAAAACTATTGACCGAAATAAGACTATTTTTATAAGACTATATATAAGACTAAGAATAATTTATGAATACAGGCTGCGGGAACTCAACCTTACAACTGTACAGGAATTGACAAAGTGGAAAGGGCAGACTATTCCAAATAAGGACGAGGGGAACACGGACAAAATTTGAAACGCAAATGAGTCTGAGACGTAAATAGAACTTGTATGTAGTGTGGGTGGTCAACAAAGGCGTTGTATGGAAACAAGATGTGAAAGTCGCCTCCATCCACAACTTGAAGGACAAATGCGACAATGAACTAGAACGTCAAGATGTATAAAAGCACCAGTTACAACTAGCTAGGAGACGGGAGCCCTAAGAGTCAGGTTCAACTGCCCATAGACATTAGAAGGAAAACGCACAAAGATAAATTTAAATCCAAAACTCATCAGAGGGGGAGAATATGAACATTTCTGCAAGCCACGGACTTCGTGTCCCCGTCACGGCCACTAGAGATAGTGTCCAAGAGGTAAATGCAGTTAAATATTCGTTCCACCAATGACTCACTACTTGAGCCCTTGAATGCATTTGCTGTGGGGCTTCACGAGAGCTCCGCCGCGCCTTACATCAGGGGACAGTACCTGTTGCAACTTGAGTGATAAGGGAAGATAAGTGACGATAAAGTATTGGCCGGCGACATGCCAGACGCTGCTCCGACACAGTGGCGCCTGTTGGTAATAATGGCGGGAGACCGAGGCAAGCGAAGATGACGTGGAAGGGGGCATGGGCACGTGATAATGACTAAGGAATCCTCACCCACCAGTCATGGTGAAGGTGAAAGGACACCGCTGCCCTGGTGAGTCCTGTAACATTATTGTGGTGGTGCATAGGAACACACTATTGACAGATATGGTAATAAACAACCACTTTACATGGATACATGACGCAAATTTAAAATATTAAGAGACCTTAAACTAATCTAAGACCTTAAACTACGATTCTTCGCGGCAGGGGATCGTATTCCAGGGACCATAGGATTAAGGACTTGCCCGAAACGCTACGCGTACTAGTGGCTGTACAAGAATGTAACAACTCTTGTATACATCTCAAAAAAAAAAAAAAAAAAAAATCAATATATTTCCATTGGAGGTTTTCTGATTATTTCAAAGATGCTTGGAGTAGGAAGCCTCTTCTTCCCAAGAACTTGATGTACTTGTGTTTCAGTAGTATGGTGAGAGAGCCGGTTCCAGTGTTTGTCTCGCCTCTCACCATTTATAATTTGCTCTGCTCTCCATTAAATAAATTTAAAATTACCTCATCAAAATGTCGAAGTCTGTCGCGTCATAATGTCTGGGCACAATAAGGATATATTCCACAACGATGGTGGGAACATTATATCAAAGTGAAAATTGATTTTCATAATAATTTAACTCTTGTATCCAATGAGTCAGCTACATCTGTTGGGGGGGTTGTGTGGTGTAAACTTTTTCTTGCAGTGCGGCACCTCGAGTTTACCTGAGGTGGGTTCTGGGAGTTCTACTCTCCAAGTCTGACCCAAGGCCAGGCTTGGCTTCTGATAACTTGATCTAGAAGGCTCTTGCTTGGCGCGGCCCGCAGGCCCATATATATATATATATATATATATATATATATATATATATATATATATATATATATATATATATATATATACACATATGTCGTACCTAGTAGCCAGAACGCACTTCTCAGCCTACTATGCAAGGCCCAATTTGCCTAATAAGCCAAGTTTTCATGAATTAATTGTTTTACGACTACCTAACCTACCTAACCTAACCTAACCTAACCTAACTTTTTCGGCTACCTAACCTAACCTAACCTATAAAGATAGATTAGGTTAGGTTAGGTAGGGTTGGTTAGTTTCAGTCATATATCTACGTTAATTTTAACTCCAATAAAAAAAACATTGACCTCATACATAATGAAATGGGTAGCTTTATCATTTCATAAGAAAAAAATAGAAAAAATATATTAATTTGGGAAAACTTGGCTTATTAGGCAAATCGGGCGTTGCATAGTAGGCCGAGTACGACGTTCTGGCTACTAGGTATAACATATATATATATATAATATATATATATATATATATATATATATATATATATGTCGTACCTAGTAGCCAGAACGCACTTCTCAGCCTACTATGCAAGGCCCATTTTGCCTAATAAGCCAAGTTTTCCTGAATTAATATATTTTCTCTAATTTTTTTCTTATGAAATGATAAAGCTACCCATTTCATTATGTATGAGGTTATTTTTTTTTTATTGGAGTTAAAATTAACGTAGATATATGACCAAACCTAACCAACCCTACCTAACCTAACCTAACTTATCTTTATAGGTTAGGTTAGGTTTGGTAGCCGAGAAAGTTAGGTTAGGTTAGGTTAGGTAGGTTAGGTCGTTGAAAAAACATTAATTCATGAAAACTTGGCTTATTAGGCAAATCGGGCCTTGCATAGTAGGCAGAGAAGTGCGTTCTGGCTACTAGGTACGACATATATATATATATATATATATATATATATATATATATATATATATATATATATATATATATATATATATATATATATATATACACATACATACATACATATACATACATACATACATACATACATACATACATACATACATACATACATACATACATACATACATACATACATACATATATACATAACTCGGATGGTCCGGCATCTCAATAGGTTTGAAAGCGTTCCGTGTATATTTGATATTTTGTTAACCGAAGAGTTTGGTAGGCTCTGAGCCGCATGAATCTGCCATCAAAACAGTGAATCAATCGGGTAGCCACCTGCCATTGGTAACGGCAACCCAACCTGATCCTGGCAACCACTGTGTCGCACAGAAAGAACTTTTTCAGTGTCAGTAGTTAACAAATGGAATGCATTAAGCAGTGATATGGCGGAGGCAGACTCTATACACAGTTTCAAGTATAGATATGATAAAGAATCTGTACACCAGTTGATTGATGGTTGAGAGGCGGGACCAAAGAGCCAAAGCTCAACCCCCACAAGCACAAATAGATGAGTGCACATACACACAATAACGTGATTTTAACGTCAGACCATAATGTAGTGTGAAAATGAACTTTAAATGCCTAGGGATGCATTTCGCAAGGCACTCCTCACATTTTCAAAGAAAATGTAAGGAGTGCCTTGCGAAACGCATTTATAGGCGTCAGACCATAATACAGTATAGTGTGAAAATGAACTTTGGAGAGTTAATTTTTCAACTTCCTTTGACAGTGAAGAAAAACAAAAGAAATATTGAGAAGATTCGCGTTAGAATCATTAATCTTACCCTTTTGGTCATACTGTATTCAACAATATATATATACAGTACTGTATATATATAATGCTAATAGAAATTTAAATTAAAAAGGGTACTGTAGATAAGTAAAAAGCGAATGCTTTAGTCATAACTGCCGAGTAATATATATATAGAGAGTAATATATATGTAATATCACTTTAATATCACTCTACGACTTGACTTTAATATCACTACAAAGTTCTTGTTCGACAAAACTTGAAATTCTCGGATTTAATAAATGTTAGCGAGTGTAGTGATAAGCTTACAGTGTCAGCTCAATTATGATAAGCTAGTAATGTTATCAGTTATAAATGGTGATCTCTCCATTCATTCGGTGGGCTTGACACCATAGCGGAAGCGGTAGCCTAAGTCTCTGACTCATCATACACAAGCATACTGGGTGTATATGTCATCCATCATGCACGAGCATACCTGGGTATATAACAGATCCATCATACATGAACATACGGGGGGTGTATAAGGGTTCTGTATGTCAGTGGATGTGTTATCCTAACCAAAAGCAAACTACAAGTAACCTCCAAATAAAATAATTTTCACTCGTACAGTTATGAATATATTTTATGTTTAATTGTAGTTATGAATAGAGAGTAGTTATGAATATATTTTATGTTTAATTGGTATGAAATTACAAGCTGGTCATTCATTATTAAATGTTATTGTTGTTGCTGAAAAATGCCCTCATTTTTCTGTCACCAAAGTTTTCATCCATCTTATGTATGACCCTCTGTCCTGCGTGACAGTGAATACTAGCATTAACCTCAATTTAATAAGACTATCAAAATTCTCAGATTAGGCAAAATTGTAATTAATTTTGTCAATAAAGATGTTAATAATAATAATCCATGTCAGAAGTCGCCCCTCCAGTTTGTTGGTTCCCAGAATAATCTCTTGTGTGGGATTTCTTCAAACGTCTTTTTTTTAGGCCTAGATAAATGCAGCCAACCCAAACATCTCTTTCCTGTATGGTGTAATGGATGTCCCTGAGTGGTGATTGGTGTTCATGGTGTGTGGAGCAAGAGTGTGGAGTATTAGGTCTGCTGGAATGCTATAATCATGTATATGTGTATGGAACAGGAGTACAGAGTAATGTGTGTGTTAATGCTATTGTGTGGAGTAATGTATCCATCCCCTTGCAGCTCCTCCCAAGAAGCAGCAGCACTCCCAGTCTCGGACCTCTCTCTCTCCACCCACGGCAGGAGGCACTGGACGGTCCAAGCTTCTTACAAATGGTAATTTATCTTCCGCTTGGGTTCGTTTTTATTTTTACAAGCATGAATTATTATTAACAGCTCTCAGAAAAAAAGTACTTTATTAAAAGTACTTTTAGTAAATTTAGTTTATTTAGTAAAATAAAAGAAAAATTACTGTACTTTATTTTAACCACAAAGTGGTTAAAATAAAGTTCATAATTTAACTTTTATAATATTTACAATTATAAATATATTATGTTTATAACATACGTTTATAATTTGTGTGGCTAGTAATGAATGATGACGCACTTAAAAAAAAAACTATTTTTTTTCATAGCTGCTTGTATTGCTAAGAACCAGACCAATTTATAAAAGTATCGGTCTGTTGACTTAGTTTTGCATGTTAATTTGATAAGGCTTATGAAGAAAGGCACTTGAACATTACACTGAATATCAATTTTAATGTTCGAATAATGTTCATCATAGATTGATCTACTCTGTTTTATACTATTTTGTGAACATTCACTGGTAATTATTTTGTCTGTCTCTTTCAACTTATTAAAGAAAAAAATAACAGCATATAATTATAACACTATTATATTGTTATAATTACAGAATTATAACAATAAAGCACAGCTGCTGGAATAGACAAAATAAACTCGCAACAATAACTGATTTCAGTTGTCAAATAAGCAACAGTTTTTTAATAAAACACTATTGCCTCCTTCAAACCTCAATTGCACTCATGATTATTATTATTTTTTTCTGAAGGTAAAGAGAAAATAGACTTATTGTGGTACTGTGAAGGTGAAGTTCCCACAGTGATTGAGCACAGAGTGCAGCAAGAGGGGATGAAAAGTGTGGCAGGAAGATTGTAGTTCTGTACAATTTATTTATTTATTTATTTATTTATATATATACAAGAAGGTACATTGGGAATATGAGGATACATAATATGGTAATTACAGTCTTGTAAAGCCACTAGTACGCGCAGCATTTCGGGCAGGTCCTTAATCTAAGAAAATTTTAAGTAGGTAAATACTTGCAAAATTTATAGACAAATAAAATGATAACAGTTACATGGAATGAAAAAAAGAAGATGAGAGAAAATTGTAGGTACAGTATATTAAAGCACATAGGTAGCTAAGATTGATTGCAATGACAGCTTGAATGGTAGTTGACAAAAATTGGTAGTCACAATACAGCATATGGCTAGCACATAAAAGAAGACAGCAATGAACACAATGATAAGGTTGTTTGATGCTACATAAAAATTAGGAGATTGGGTAACACTAGGTACAGAGCAAATTTAAAGCTCAGTGTAGGAAACTAAGAAGATGAAATTAGGTACTTTTTGGTTTTGCTTTTAAATAAGGCAAAAGTTTTACAGTTTTTCAATTCACTAGGGAGTGAGTTCCATAGACTAGGTCCCTTAATTTGCATAGAGTGTTTACACAGATTAAGTTTGACCCTGGGGATATCAAAGAGATATTTATTTCTGGTGTGGTGATAATGGGTCCTATTACATCTGTCCAGGGTGAGTTTCAGCGCATGGTTTGCATTTAAGAACAGGGTTTTGTAAATGTAGTTGACACAAGAGAATGTGTGGAGGGAGTTAATATTTAGCAAGTTTAGGGATTTAAACAAGGGAGCTGAGTGTTGTCTGAAACAGAGTTAGTTATTATTCTGATAGCAGATTTTTGCTGTGTGATGATGGGCTTAAGGTGGTTTGCAGTGGTAGACAATCAAAGACATGGTGTTGTGAACAAGAATTTTCAGAACAGGGTTTTGAAAATGTAGTTGACACAAGAGAATGTGTGGAGGGAGTTAATATTTAGCAAGTTTAGGGATTTAAACAAGGGAGCTGAGTGTTGTCTGAAACAGAGTTAGTTATTATTCTGATAGCAGATTTTTGCTGTGTGATGATGGGCTTAAGGTGGTTTGCAGTGGTAGACAATCAAAGACATGGTGTTGTGAACAAGAATTTTCAGTTCTGACAGATACCAGAAAAGAGAGAGAGGCTTCTTTATGTTGATGAGGAGATGAGAGTTAGTTTGGCTCCAATTAGTCCTAATATTTAGTAAATGTATCTCCAACAAAAATAAATTCACATCTCTAATTGTGTTTGTTTACTTAATATTACATATGTAAGAGGCTCGTTTAAGTATATTTCAGGAATGAATATATATATATATATATATATTATTAAATATGACCGAAAAAGTAAGATTAATAATTCTAACACGAATTTTCTCAATCTTTCGTACATTACGCTTCACTGTTGGAGGTAAATCAAAAATCAATTCTCCAAAATTCATTTTTATTTCTAGTCTGACGCGACACGGGCGCGCTTCGTAAAACTTATTACATTTTCAAAGACTTTTAGTTCACAAATACACAACTGAATAGAACTTACGTATCTCCGATTTTATATCTACATTTGAGTGAGGTGGGAGGGGTGATGTGGCATTAACACAAGACAGAACAAAAGGGGATATTAATAGGGTATTAAAAGTATCAACACAAGACAGAACGCAAACAATAGGTATTGAATAGAAGTGTTTGTAGAAAGCCTATTGGTCCATATTTCTTGATGCTTCTATATTGGAGCGGAGTCTTGAGGTGGGTAGAATATAGTTGTGCAATAATTGGCTGTTGATTGCTGGTGTTGACTTCTTGATGTGTAGTGCCTCGCAAACGTCAAGCCGCCTGCTATCGCTGTATCTATCGATGATTTCTGTGTTGTTTACTAGGATTTCTCTGGCGATGGTTTGGTTGTGGGAAGAGATTATATGTTCCTTAATGGAGCCCTGTTGCTTATGCATCGTTAAACGCCTAGAAAGAGATGTTGTTGTCTTGCCTATATACTGGGTTTTTTGGAGCTTACAGTCCCCAAGTGGGCATTTGAAGGCATAGACGACGTTAGTCTCTTTTAAAGCGTTCTGTTTTGTGTCTGGAGAGTTTCTCATGAGTAGGCTGGCCGTTTTTCTGGTTTTATAGTAAATCGTCAGTTGTATCCTCTGATTTTTGTCTGTAGGGATAACGTTTCTATTAACAATATCTTTCAGGACCCTTTCCTCTGTTTTATGAGCTGTGGAAAAGAAATTCCTGTAAAATAGTCTAATAGGGGGTATAGGTGTTGTGTTAGTTGTCTCTTCAGAGGTTGCATGGCTTTTCACTTTCCTTCTTATGATGTCTTCGACGAAACCATTGGAGAAGCCGTTATTGACTAGGACCTGCCTTACCCTACAGAGTTCTTCGTCGACTTGCTTGCTTTGAATGTGCCTAAATGCCAACAGCGACTGCCCTGACAGGTACAAGAGGAGTGTTGTTAACGCATATGTCGACCGTGCTCTCAGCCACAGCTCAGAATGGAAGCAAGTCGACGAAGAACTCTGTAGGGTAAGGCAGGTCCTAGTCAATAACGGCTTCTCCAATGGTTTCGTCGAAGACATCATAAGAAGGAAAGTGAAAAGCCATGCAACCTCTGAAGAGACAACTAACACAACACCTATACCCCCTATTAGACTATTTTACAGGAACTTCTTTTCCACAGCTCATAAAACGGAGGAAAGGGTCCTGAAAGATATTGTTAATAGAAACGTTATCCCTACAGACAAAAATCAGAGGATACAACTGACGATTTACTATAAAACCAGAAAAACGGCCAGCCTACTCATGAGAAACTCTCCAGACACAAAACAGAACGCTTTAAAAGAGACTAACGTCGTCTATGCCTTCAAATGCCCACTTGGGGACTGTAAGCTCCAAAAAACCCAGTATATAGGCAAGACAACAACATCTCTTTCTAGGCGTTTAACGATGCATAAGCAACAGGGCTCCATTAAGGAACATATAATCTCTTCCCACAACCAAACCATCGCCAGAGAAATCCTAGTAAACAACACAGAAATCATCGATAGATACAGCGATAGCAGGCGGCTTGACGTTTGCGAGGCACTACACATCAAGAAGTCAACACCAGCAATCAACAGCCAATTATTGCACAACTATATTCTACCCACCTCAAGACTCCGCTCCAATATAGAAGCATCAAGAAATATGGACCAATAGGCTTTCTACAAACACTTCTATTCAATACCCATTGTTTGTGTTCTGTCTTGTGTTGATACTTTTAATACCCTATTAATATCCCCTTTTGTTCTGTCTTGTGTTAATGCCACATCACCCCTCCCACCTCACTCAAATGTAGATATAAAATCGGAGATACGTAAGTTCTATTCAGTTGTGTATTTGTGAACTAAAAGTCTTTGAAAATGTAATAAGTTTTACGAAACGCGCCCGTGTCGCGTCAGACTAGAAATAAAAATGAATTTTGGAGAATTGATTTTTGATTTACCTCCAACAGTGAAGCGTAATGTACGAAAGATTGAGAAAATTCGTGTTAGAATTATTAATCTTACTTTTTCGGTCATATTTAATAATATATGTCTACAGGAAAGACTGCTACCAAAATATACTAATATATATACATATATATATATATATATATATATATATATATATATATATATATATATATATATATATATATATATACACACACATACATACATACATACAGTATATATATAAATATAAATACATATTTTACAAGAAAACAATTATGAACTAAGTGAGCTAAACATTTGGTAGCTAATCTGCTTTAAAAGAATACAGTGCAGTATATGCATTGATAAAGATTTAGGTACTGTACCTTACTGGTGTCACTGAAGTACAGATTTGGGATCTTTATACTGTACTTCCTTCATCTGCCTGGAATTTGTATTAGGATTTGTAGTAGTTTTTTATTAAGTGTCTACACATAAATGTCTAGTAGAAGTCGCCTAATGTACAGTGTGTGTACAAATGTAGGTGTTCAATAATTACAGTAACAAACTGTAAATTAATATGAAATGTCTGTGTGCATGTTAAATCTGGTAAGTGACCCAGATTGTTGAAATTCACCTGCCTTGCTCTCACATTACTTCGGCATATTTGCTTAATGTATTCCCGTTTCCTGTAATCCTAGGCACCTTTACATCATACTTCAAAGGAGGTGATCCTGGCCTTCCTCCTGAGAGACCTTCCCCCTCTCGCTCAGTGTCTCCTAGAAGGAACACCCATGTGTTACAAGCCCATACCTCAAGTCCCCTTTATGCATCATCCTCTCCTGTTGGTGTGAGTCACGGGACATTCACACCCTCACAATCCTTCATGTGCTCTCCTGTGAGCAGCTCCGGGAGAGAGACATCCTATGGCACACCACCCACATCCTCTCGCCTCGCACCCTTACCTGCTCCTCCTCCAAAGAGTAAGTTTTATATTATTCCAAGTAAGTTCTAAATATCTCAAGGGATGAGAAGTACATTACAATGAATTAACTCAGCCAACAGTTGTGAATATTGAAATTCCCTGGGATGTAACATCTTCATGGAACTCAAAAACAAAGCTGATCCTGGTGGCTTTCAGGGTGCAACGGGTACCCCTATCCAATAACCCACAAGTGTGTGAATACAAGACTGCTTCTTAATACTTGACAAAGTTTTAGCTTGTGCTTAATATATAAGCTTTGATATCTTTACACTGTGGGGGCTAATTTATCAAACACGCTTGGCTGGTTTACTAGTTTAAACACTACAGTTTACTAGCATACAACAGCAACCATCAAATTATAGACAGCTGTAATAACCTGCAAAGCGCTTGGCTTGTAACCCAAAGATACCACGAGCCTTTGCAAGGTATTGGAGACGTAAGGATGACCAGTGCTAACTTGCTATGGTATCGGGTGCTTCAGGTTTGGGAGGGACGCCTGCCAGTGCTCGCCGGAGGGGGGGTGTCAGTCCTCGTGGCCCCCCCCTGTCCCCATGGTCCAGACGTGTTCCTCGCCCTAACACCGTCAACGTGGACTCCTCACAACACCTAACAGGTACACAGAGTTGGGTAATGAAGGTCACACCCCATTAACAGGGAGTGCTGGAGATTATTTTGGATTCATTATTGGTAGAAATATAGGTTTCGATTCTTTACTTTTAAACTGTCAACATGTAATAATACCTAATCTCTAAAATTTTGTATTTTTTTCTGTGCCTATTAGCCTAAGGAAAATAAGAGCAGCTTACATAGAGCCACACAATCTTAGTCACAAAACTGAAATATAAAACATTGTGAGTTACTGTAGATTATAGCAGATTGTAAATAAATTTCTTCACTGTACATTTTTTTGTTAATGTTTTTCTTGCTTCTTTTATCAAAGAGCTTGTTTTAAGCAAATATTTAGCAAGATGTTCAGTATACAAAATTACTTTTTATAAATATTTATTTAAAGTATTATTATTTTTTAAAGCACTCATATCATTAGTATTACTCTATATAAACCTTCTTGATGAGCCGCAGTTTTGTTATATAATATTTTAACCATAATTTTGTGCCAAACAATTTCTAGGTAAACAACCAAGAATGTTTGTATTATTCAGAGATCTGTAAAGTATGTCTATATAGTTTTTCCAAAAGGTGACTTTTATAGTAATTTATGGTATTTTAACATGGTCAAGGAAAGAAATTTATTAAAGGTACTAACCCCAATACAGTTGGTAAATATCTATGGTTCATGAAAGAATTATTTCAGGAATTTTCACTGAAAGCAGAGGTATTTAGTTTTGTTCTTTAAAACAATGGTAAAAGTATACATGGAAGATATGAAAGTTATGATATACATTGAAGAAAGTATATTTTCATTCAGTATGTATTAAATGTAGTAAATTTGTTCACCATTGGCTTTGGAAAGCAAAGTGAATTTATGTTCACTAGTTGGTGTTAACTTATAGTGTGTAATATCAGCTCATCAGAATTAAAGTAATTAATGTAATACTGTACTTGTGAACCAAGCTTTATAAAATTGTCAAATTTAGAATTACTTGTAGTATTTTAATCATTTAGGTTCAGTTGAGCTGATAGTGCCATTGAATGTCTAACTGAAGCAAGATTAGCACAAAGCAATTAACTAACACTACTTCAACTTTTCTCCTGCCTTGTAGCTCTCCTCTCCTCGGCCGAAAAGAAGAGCTCCAAAAATATAAGTCTAGCTCGCAGGATAAAATCCCTTTGGAGTATAGGTACTGAAACAATGCATGAGTGTTGCATGCTCCTCTTCTGTAGCTTCATTCTGTAGAGTTATAGTTGATAGTAAAGAGGATAGATATTTTTAAGTGTAATTGAATGCTTTTGTTTTTTCCAATTTTATGTCGTTAATATCCTTTACAGTATTGTGATATTCTATAGAAGATCCTGCTACTGTATCTTTATGGGGATGATACATTTGCATGCCATTGTATTAATGTGTAATAATTTTGTTGCTTGTTATAATTTGATATACAGTATTTAAACAAATTAAGGGCATTCCTCTTCTAATCAGAGCTGTACAAGTTTTTTCATGATTGAGTGAACAGTGTATTTCATATACAGTACTATGAATCAGAAGACATTTGCAAGTTGTATCTACAATATATAGTACAGTAATACATAAAATTAACATATACACCATTCATGGTTTAAATTATAAGCAGGTCTTTTTAATCACAGTATTTAATGTGCTTTTAAATGGCTAGTGTTTATAAAGGAGAAAGGTGCAAGTTGTGAATTCCTATATTACAGTTTGCCATTTTGTATTAATAAATTTTGTAAGAGGGGTTACAAAAATGAATTTTCTTTCATGCTGTATGATGATTAATGAAAGAAAAATCATTATGATTATACCTCTTGTTAAATTAATACTTAAAAGATATAAGGTATTGCACATTATCTCTCACGTCTTTCACCTTGACTTCACGAACTTTACCTAATTGACCTCATCTCACCTTCGCTTCACTGATCTCATCCCACCTTCGCTTCACTGACCTCATCCCACCTTCGCTTCACTGATCTCATCCCACCTTCGCTTCACTGATCTCATCCCACCTTCGCTTCACTGACCTCATCCCACCTTCGCTTCACTGACCTCATCCCACCTTCGCTTCACTGATCTCATCCCACCTTCGCTTCACTGACCTCATCCCACCTTCGCTTCACTGATCTCATCCCACCTTCGCTTCACTGATCTCATCCCACCTTCGCTTCACTGATCTCATCCCACCTTCGCTTCACTGACCTCATCCCACCTTCGCTTCACTGACCTCATCCCACCTTCACTTCACTGACCTCATCCCACCTTCACTTCACTGACCTCATCCCACCTTCACTTCACTGACCTCATCCCACCTTCGCTTCACTGACCTCATCCCACCTTCACTTCACTGACCTCATCCCACCTTCACTTCACTGGCCTCATCCCACCTTCACTTCACTGACCTCATCCCACCTTCGCTTCACTGACCTCATCCCACCTTCACTTCACTGACCTCATCCCACCTTCGCTTCACTGACCTCATCCCACCTTCACTTCACTGACCTCATCCCACCTTCGCTTCACTGGCCTCATCCCACCTTCGCTTCACTGGCCTCATCCCACCTTCGCTTCACTGGCCTCATCCCACCTTCGCTTCACTGACCTCATCCCACCTTCGCTTCACTGACCTCATCCCACCTTCGCTTCACTGACCTCATCCCACCATCCTTTCACTGGCCTTATCCCACCATCCTTTCACTGGCCTCATCCCACCATCCTTTCACTGGCCTCACCCACTAATCCTCTGTATTTCTTAAGATTTGGTAAAGACCTTATAGAGAAAACTAAATTTTCTTGGTGCTTCTCTACATCATTATCAACACGTTGTGGTCTCTTCAATCAATTATTTTATCCATTAAAAATATTAGAAACACACTGTTTAATATTAGCTATGACTTTTCCTGAACACACATTATTTGATTACTGTGATTAATATTCAGCCGGTGTCCAATATGATACACATGTACTGTATTGTACATTAATCATCAAGTACTGTAATATGGTTTACAAATTACAATATGCAATGTCTGCTTCGGTTATAAATGATTTTGTAACATTTGATTGTCTGTTCTTCAAGTATTTTCCAAATTTGAGTTTACACTGTATTTCTTTGACATTATTGTTTAGCTTTTGGCTTTATTCTGATTGTGAAACATACAGAAGAAGAATACAGTCTAATTATTTTTTTTAAATGTTTGTCTTGTAATCACTTAAAGGCAGAGTTATATTTACTGCATGCAAGATTAATGCCAATTTTTTATATTAACATTGTTTATAAAACAGCAGTTCAATGTGGTTTAAATCTATTCATAAAGAATATTTATCTTAATAATATTGAGTTTGACAGTGTCAGACCACAAAGGAAGAATTAAAACATGAAAATTGAATTGAAGAATTGAAACGTATTGAATTGAAATTCCTGTTTATATTCTTCCTTCGTAGTCTGACACTGTCCCATTTTTCAGCACGTGTTAATTTTCGTGATTTACACATATTATTGAGTTTATAATCCTGTATGCAGTTTATTTTGGCATATTCTATATGAGGACAATACATAGCTTGATAGTGGTATTCATTTGTAATAAGAACTGTAACAAATTATACGAATTACAAAATGCATGATACAAAACAAAATTATGTCAGTGTTTACCAGAGGCTGAGCTTCAGATTATGTAATTGGAATATTAATAAGTGGATGAACACTGCCAGTCAACTGCCTCACCTGGTACAATGCAGATATGGTACAATTCGTCATGCCTCACCTGTTACAGTTCCATGCTGAAGTCATTCAATGTCCAATACAGTACCATGCTGAAAACATGCTATGTTCAATGCAGTACCATGCTGAAGTCATGCTATGTCCAATACAGTACCATGCGGAAGTTATGCAACACCTGATACAGAATTGGGTTGAAATCATGCCACGCCTGATACACAACCATGTGATGTCTAATGTACTGTAGTGCCATGCTGATATCATACCACACCTGATGCAATCATGCCACACATCGTACCATCGTATCATGCTGAACTCATGCCACACATCGTACCACGCTGAAATTATTTCACACTTCAGAATGCTCGAAGTTTCCCATATATCCTCAAAAGTAACTCAGGGTAACCCCAAGATAGCCATTGTGTACATGATTCTCCTAGTAATATCATTATTGTACAACCAATGTGAACAGGCTTTTCCAGAAATTTACAACAATGTATCAATGATTTTATCTGTAACCTCATATTTCTTTGTTCTGATACATATGAAATGTTTTCACAGATTTTCAAAGAATGAAACATTCTGTTCTGATGAAAATTCATAAGGTACAGTTATTCAGTAATTTAGGAAGCTATAGAAACATCCTGGATTAAAATTACTGTACTCTTCGATATCTGGAAAATACGGGGAATACAGTATATTCACCCATCATAATGCATCATTAGAATACTGTATTGCTGGATTTATTCTATCATAAATTAAAGGTCTGGGAAATACAGCAATACAACAGTATTTCCATCTTGTATAATACAATTTACAGTACTCTACTGTATGAAATGACCTATCACTTGTGGTATCTAGTGTTTACATGTTGCTTTTTATACACTGTTGTATTCCAATACAAATATTTGCAAGTTATACCACATACAGTACTCATGTTTGCATATGTACAGAACTAAGCTTTAAAGTAATGAAAAATATAAATCTTGTAATTAAGAGTTCTGGGTATGTCAAGTCCAGATAAGCAGTTCAGGAATCAAATGACAAGAGTTGCTCTCTGTGCATACTCCCAATATTTAAAACAAGGAAGCTTTGCTTGGATTAAGACTGCATGCAGCTCACTAAGTTGAGTGTACCGGGTACTGAATGCCACACTTAAATATGTTTTATACAGAGCTTCTCTTAAAAGCATTAATAATACTTAAGATAGTTCAAAACAAAGTTATGGTTATAAAGTTACTGTGTTACATAGTTGAACTTGAGAGTAGCAAAAACATGAACAGAAAGACAAGAAACGTGTAAACAGCATTATTCACCTTTAAAAATATGTGGTTTTAGTGAGGAAAGACTAATGATGCTTCACATGATTGTACTTGAACTGATACATAAAAATCTAACAGTATATAAATTAAGTGCCTACAGTATACTGACTGCTGTATTTTCAAAGTTTACACTGAAAACTAATAACTCATATCACATTAGCATTTTGTAATACAGTAGCAGCACTTTAGTAATTTCTCTGTGTGAATATTTTTTTTTTTAACTTCATACCATCTTCTTGCTAAATACATTTTAAAGTAAAGAAGTTTCATCAGTGAGTGACATTTTATGAGGACTGATTTTTCAACAGTATTTATTTTTATTCGGTAATCACTTGCAGTATATAAGTTAAGTGACATGGTGTACAGTATTCTGATAATATTTTTACATGCACTATACTGCACTGCAGAATTACTGTGCAAGAGTCACATTTTCTTATATAATACTGCATTTGCAGCATTATATTTCACTCGTTTTTATAAATGTTGTTGTGCTCTACAGACGACGAGTGTGACGGGGATACAGAAGCTACAAGTGGAGGAAGTGGTGAGGCAACAGAGGCCAAGGATGGAGAAGATCTTTACATGCGCCTTGGACTGCTGTTGGGTGAAGGAGCCACCCCACCAACTTCAGCTTCTAGGCCTCCCAGAGCTGCCTCCTCTCATACCTCATTTAGCTCATTGTCAGCATCCTCCGAGGTGAACACAACAGCTTCAAATAATACCAGTCCAGTTTCAACTTTAAATGGTGAGTATTTTTTACATGATTTTTCTGTTGATCCAAAACACCGTGCACTCTTAAGTAGCAGATTATTGAACTTATTTACAGCAACATTTTAATTTTCAGATTAATAGTTCAGTAATGGTAAAAGTCTTTGAGATCCATATAAATTAGTATTAATCAACATATTTTTTTCCTCATAGGATCTTCTGAAGCTGAACTGAGGCTTCCAGGTGGCAGGGATCCATCAGTGGAAAGCATGAATTCCTTCATATCCCATGGAGCCATGTCATCTAATGCATCTGCTTCTCCCACCCCCACGCCACGAAGACACTCAGTTACCAGTAAGTGTTAACACCATCAATCTACAGTAATTATAATATAGTTTGATGTGTTTGGCATGTTTATGCTCCCTTCAGTGGCTTGTATTTCTGGCTGCTTATGGTATTGTCACATGTACTTGTAATTTGTAATTACAAGTACATGTGATTTATACTTGTAATTTATCTCTCTTTACTGCAATTGTTGTACTTATGGACCAGAAAGAAAAATTAAGTGGGACTCCTTTCATGTCACAATATTTGACCAAATATATATAATAGTCTATTTGTTATAAAATAATACAGTATCAGTATAGTCACCATACACTATCTGTAATGAACAATGCTAGAATAAATATTAATAAAAATTAATGAAGTGAAACTGTGTTATGGCAGTTAGACATATCCATTGTATCCACTGTAATTAGTGCAACAAGTTGTCTCTTCAGTATTAACATGTGCAACGTCATAAATTGAAAATGGAAGTACAGTACTAGTAGTCCAAATACACATGTTCAGAATTGGAATCCAAGATAAATCCTTGTCTGATATGTTGCTTTAAGCATTTTTTATACAATAGTGTACAGTATCATGATTGAAAACTATGAAATATTTAAATTTAGAGCAAATTTTGTTTTTTTGTAGTCAGTTTTAAATTCATTATACTGTATATAATTTTTTATTTTTTATTTTAAATCCTTAAGAGAAATACATTATTAATGGTTTTATTCAGTGATTTTAATATCAGTGACTTAAATATCAAAGACTTTGAAATTTGATTAACTTTACAGTTTTATTGGTCTTGACAGGTTGTAATAAGATAGTAAAAATGTGAGACTGGGCTTATGTTAATGATAATGTGCCTTGTACTATGCTTGTTTTCCTCGGTGTTGTGTGTGACTAACTTATGCATGTGGTGTTAGCCTCACAGCCGGGCCAAGTGGAAGAGTTAAGCTTGTTTGGGAGGCGGAGGTCCTCCGTCCGACGCTCAGCACGTAATGCACATGTGAAAGGCCCGATAGACCCCAAAGGTAAGCAAGGTTTGATGCTTTGAGTGTGGAATGTCTGTATTTTATTTGCAATTACTCTTCATAAAATGAGTTAACATTTTATGCTGTTATTGCCTTTGCTGTATAAGCTTGTATTGTGGCATGTTAAAAATATAATATATAATTGTTCTCCAACACTATATGTTTTCCTTTGTCAAGGACAGGAAGAATATTTTGGCTTATCGAGGTCCTTCTATGTCAACTACTGACCTTATCCAGGATGCAACTCACAATATTTGCCTAACTCTTGGGTTTAAATATATACTATTAGGTGAACAGAGGTATCAGGTGAAAAGAAATGTGCCCAAAAACCTGGGACCTTTCAGTAGTGAGCCATCTGTGCTGGCTATATGCTATACCTTGAGGTTACCTTGAGAAGCTTCCGGGGCTAAGCGTCCCCGCGGCCCGGTCGTCGACCAGGCCTCCTGGTTGCTGGACTGATCAACCAGGCTGTTGGACGCGGCTGCTCGCAGCCTGACGTATGAGTCACAGCCTGGTTGATCAGGTATCCTTTGGAGGTGCTTATCCAGTTCTCTCTTGAACACTGTGAGGGGTCGGCCAGTTATGCCCCTTATGTGTAGCGGAAGCGTGTTGAACAGTCTCGGGCCTCTGATGTTGATAGAGTTCTCTCTCAGAGTACCTGTTGCACCTCCGCTTTTCAACGGGGGTATTCTGCACAATAGGACTCTGACAAAAAATATACAGTACAAAAAAAAAAAAAAGAACCAGCATTGAATATAATGAAATGCAGTGGGTCTTTGGTGGCTCCTTGGTGCTAGCTACCTGGATAGCTACACCCAGTTCAGTTCATGCCAAGCTCTTGCGAGTCATTGTAAGTCTAGTAAGAACCAGATACCAAAACCAACCCCCCTCTAAAGAGGCACAAGGACCAAGGGACTCTTAGATGACCTTAACCAAGAAAAGGTCACCAGAAAGGTGGGTGCACAAAACTTACAAACAACAAGGTAAACAAAGCATAGAAAATGAGACAGTAAAGCTCTGAAGCACACGCACCACCCAGCCATGAAGCAGCTCTCTCATTCCACCAGCACATTTCCAGGGAAATACTGTGGAAAATTTGTTCATTGTTTGTGGTAGAACAGTGGACTGTATTCATAAATTTGGGTTTCAGCTCTCATAAATTATTGGGTGGTTAGTTTAATAAATTTTATTTAATTATGCTTATTAAATATTATTATTATTTAATGATTTAAACCACTCCTTGATTATTATATTTTAAGTTGAGTATTAAACTCAAGTTCTTGATGTTCTGTTATCAGTTTAAGTAGTTGAACTTTATTCATAAATAATTTAACTCAGTTATTAACATCACTGAATGGTGACTGTTAATAACTGATTATAATAACAATTATAATCTTGATTATAATTTTGTTAGGATAATAATAATTATCACATGACATTTCAAATCTCAGCTGCGTAGGCATCTGGGCGTGTCTCATGTCATCTATCCAACAAGGTCATTGCGGCTGGTGTCAATCTCTGAGATATGGAACTTACAGTGCCTAGACTGGATCTGCCAGCAATTTCACTATTAGAATTACAATAATAATAATAATAATAATATTTTATTTAGGAAAAGTACATACATAGATGCAGAGTTACAAACATTCTGATTGATTTATAGATAGAGCTAGTACATATAATACCTAAAGCCACTAGTACGCATAGCGTTTCGGGCAAATCCTTATATCCTTGTGCAGACAATTGAGTCACAATAATGTGGCTGAAGATATGATGACCAATCACACATCAGAAGGTGGAGAAACGACAATGTTTCAATCCGTCCTTTTTTGCCCATTCAAAAGTTTGGGGGGACAACTGTTATGAATTTTTATTTGTTCTGAATACCTAAATTTTTCATATTCCTAAAGTTAACATTATCTGTTATCTGGATGGCTCCTGTTGGCCACTGCTGATTACTATTCAGATTTGTAAACAAACAGCCAATGTAGGCATAGAACAGGCATTTTGATGCACACTTGCAACATTTTGAAGAGATCAGCCAAAATCTCAACAATTTTCAAATGATGCATTAAGAGTCCCAAAATTTTGCAGTGGGCTTTGAAAAAATGTTTGAGAATCAATGCCTTGAAGGAAGGAAATGTAGCATAAAAATAATAATTATAATAATAATTTATCTGAATATTACTCGATGCAGTACAGTTCATTATAAAAGTGATTGTGTTTTATTTCTAATGCATGTATATTAATGTTTTATTTACACCAGTATCAACATTCTTTTTCTGCAGTGCGATTTGCCAGTTACCGTGGTGCACAGCTGAGCTTACGACCACTCTTCTTTGAAGTGCCACAGCAGGACCCAGACCCCATATTTGTTGGTCGTGCCTGGCTTTATCGAGAGATTGAAGCGCACCTCACTGCTGAGGCACCAACAAACAGAGGTGTCATTGTTACTGGCAGTGTAGGTGCAGGGAAGACGGCTGCTATTCTCCAGTTGGTCGAGTACAGTTGCTTTGGCCGCAAGAGGGATGAATCTATCTACCAAGGCTAGTTTCATGAGAATTATTAACATTTTTATTAATATGCAATTAAATAATTTAAATTACAATATGTGCATCAAAATTGTTTATTTTGTACAAAATACAAGTAGTATTAATATGTATGGTCTGTAAAATAATTAAACTTTGGATATGTTTTTAAATACTGCATGTAATTAAATTTAATCTTATATTTTTAAATTTCAGATCCATACAGCAAAGGTGGTGGATCACTGTACGGCAGAATGAGTTTAATACCAGAAGGTGTAAAGTCCTTGGCATCCAGAGTTGTTGCTTATCATTTTTGTCAAGCTGAAAATTCTGTTACTTGTCTTGTTCCTGACTTTGTTCACTCCATTGCTGCTCAACTGTGCCAGGCGCCACAGCTCCATGCCTACCGCGACCTGTTATTGGCCGAGCCTCAGACACAGGGACTGTTGGCACTGCCGGCATGTGTGAGTGATCCATCAACAGCACTGGTCAAAGGTATCCTAGAGCCCCTCCATAATCTTCGCCGCCTAGGTAAAGTGGGGGCAGATCCACTAATAATTGTGGTAGATGGCATATGCGAGGCTGAATACCATCGTCCAGATCATGCTGATACACTCGCTTCATTCCTTGCCCGCTATGCTGTTAAATTGCCATCATTCATCAAATTGATAGTTAGTGTTCGTACACAATTGGCTGACCTGACACGCCTTTTGCCTTTCCATCGAATCTCACTTGATCCTGATCAGCGTGCTGACCCTGCAGCTGATCTTGCTGCCCGTGATCTCTGTGATTATGTCGGCTTCCGTTGTATGCATTCCCCTACTATAAGATCAAATATTACAGTCACACAAGGGAAGATAGAAGGAGGCTCTTCTCAGCATCGCTTTACTCAATATGTGGTCTGCCAGAGTAAAGGCTCTATGCTATACATCAAGCTCATCTTAGATCTAGTTGAGCGGGGTCATCTTGTCATGAAATCTGGCTCATTCAAGGTTCTCCCACAGTGTCTAAATGAAATTTTCCTTCTCCTATTCAATCTTAGATTCCCCAGTGTGAGAAGCTTTGAAAAGGTTCAGCCAATTCTGAATGTAGTTTTAGCATCTCTTAACCCACTTACACTCCCAGAAATTTATCATTCTGTTAATGCTGGTCTTCTCTACAAGTTCCTGTCCTGGGATGAATTTCTCAATTGTTTCAAAGTGCTAAATTCTTTCCTGGTGAAAAGACTTGACGACACATACATGCTGTTTCACCCAGCACTTCGTGAATGGCTAGCAAGACGTGTTGAAGGAGAATCTGCCAAATTTGTCTGTGACACGAGAGCTGGTCATGCTAACTTGGCTCTGCGTATGTCTCGACTTGAGTGGCCATTGGATCCTGAAGCCTCCTTAGAATTAGGTCACCACATACTGAAAGCACATGTCTACAAGAACATGGCACGAGCTCTTCCTCTATCTCCCCGTGATCTGCAGGCACTCTGGCTTGCACAGTCTTCACACAATGTGTCCCAGGCACTCGCATGCACCAGAAATCTCTACAGTCCTAATACTAAGGTAATGAATTTACTACATATTTGTAATGCATTTTTGTTAGCAGGAACTTTTAAATTTGTCATTGACTAAGATTGCCTATTCTGCTTCACCTCATAATTTTGATTGAGTTATTCATTTTTGTATATGTTTATTTCCTTCCTATATTTCTTGCTTTCTTTCTCTCTCTCCCACTTTCTCTCTTTCATTTCCCCAAAGATATAGACAACCTGAAATATGGTTACATAATTAAAAGAAATGCAGAGATAAATATAATAGTCAACATTTATATCATTAATCTTTTCTCAGGTCTCAAGACTGTTACTCCTTGCGGGTGCCTCGCCAGACTACCCAAGTGAACACCTCCACAACTCTCCCATCATAGGGGTATGTGCTCATCAAGGGCACACAGAGATGGTGGCACTTCTCATTGAGTTTGGGGCAGATGTAAATCAGACAAATAGTGAAGGTGTAACAGCACTGGGCCTTGCATCTGCACAGGGTCACTGTGATGTGGTAAGGCTCTTGGTCCAGGCCGGAGCATCACTCACGTCCAAGGATCGACAGAACCACACTCCAATGGTCCAAGCAGCTGCTGCAGGCCATCTCAACGTAGTTGGTTACCTGCTGTCCTGTGATTGGCCAGGACCAAATGATCTGTTAATAAATCAGTCACATCAAGCTCTTGTTGCTGCTGCTTCCAATGGACACAGCAATGTAAGTGAACATTTATACTGGCCTATTTTTTTTTATTAAACTATTTAACACATTACCTTAAAAGAAAATTATTTACCATAGAACTGTAAAAAAAAAAAATTGCTCATTATAGTTTACAAGTACAGTACAATAAATTTGTGCAATACATCATTTGTGGGCCCGCTGACTCTTAGTAATTTAACTATTCAGATATTTTCTAAGTACCCTATATGATTAAGTGAAGTGCTCTCTCATCCTATGAAATATCAGCACAAAATTATTTCATATGTTGCAAGATGATTCAGTACATCCATGCCTCATCTGTAGTGAAAATTTGACTTTTTGAGTAGTTGAATGATAGATATTAAACCAGTTACTGAACTCTATGCTTTGAATGAGCATTTTTATAATTAATGCCATGTTATATTTTGTTGTTTCATTTACAGGTTGTAGAGTTCCTTTTGGACATGGCAGAAGTTAGTGTAGATGGTGAAGACAATGTGACCGGGGAAACAGCTCTCACAGTTGCTGCTGGTGCAGGACATACAGCAATGGCAGCAGCATTACTAAGGGCTGGAGCCAGTATAACCAAAACCAACTCACGAGGTGCTTCACCCCTCACCTGTGCTGTGCGCAATGGTCACTATGAAGTGGCTAAATTGCTCCTGAGCCAAGGTGTTGCAGTAGAAAGCCCAGATGCTGCTGGCCGAACACCTCTCATGGTAGCTGCTGCCGAAGGACACCTTGGACTTATGGAATTATTAATCTCACGTGGTGCCTCTATAAGTCGGACAGACAGAGAAGGTCTCTCTCCACTGGGCTGGGCTTGCCTGCGTGGCCATGTTCATGCTGTCCAGTATCTAGCAGACTGTAGTGCTGACCTGAATCATGCTGACAAGTCTGGTCGTACACCACTTGATCTTGCTGCGTATCAGGGTGATCCTATTGTTGTGCAGTTCCTACTTGATAGAGGAGCGTTGATAGAGCATGTGGATATCAATGGTATGAGACCCCTAGATCGTGCAATCAGTGCCCGCAATGCCGCAGCCGTGCAGTGCTTTCTGCGACGCGGCGCTAAGTTGGGCCCTGCTACGTGGGCAATGGCTGCAGGAAAACCAAATATATTGTAAGTTTTTATGATTCTGCTTTATTTCATACTATTTTAAATGGTTGTAGTATCAAGCTAGAGAGGTGTAATAAAATTTATATAAATTTTGTTATAGATGTAATTTTGAAGTATATAATAATAATAATAACTGTAGATTTATGAAAGAAAACATTCAAACTATTTAGGCTGGGCTGTTTCCTATATAATCAGTAGGTCTTGCATAGTCCACTTCCAAGAACAAATGCCTACACAATTTTGTATATTTAGGTATTTGTTATCTTCTGTCACTGGTGGTATAGTCTACATAGCCCTAGCCCCCTTCTGGGCACTCTCCATTAGGGAAGGTGGGCCAAGGATTAGCTGGTTATCTGCATTATTCTGCTTTAGTCCATTCTCAGCCTACATCAGTACCACCAAAGTTTGCCAATGCATGTTTAAATGTGCTTATTGTTGTAGCTTTGAATACACATACTCCAATATTGTACAAGTAACTGGCCACCTTTATAGGTTTAGAAATTGCAAGTGCTTTGTACATTTGTACAAAATCATGAGTAAAATTAGTTCACAGTTTTGATACAGAACACTGAATTTACAAAAATTTACAATGCTTACTTTAAATGAACTGTTTTAAAAACTATTGGTTCATAAAAATTACATTGATATTATGAATAAATAATAGGGGGTGAAGTTGCAGTTTACTCTGCACAGCACCACCTTTTCTGTTTTAAATATTTATATATATAGATCAATTATAAAGGGGCTATTTCCTGTATAAATTATTGTATATTTTATTTAATTTTTGTAAAGTATCTGAAGTTGATTTCTCCAATAACTATTTGTTATATTTTCATCATTTATGATGTTTGATGCTGTCTGTCTCTTCCCTCACATTAACTACAGTGTCTTTACTCTCTCTCATACTTTGTGTTCTGTATCATTGCTCTTCCCACCTTTTATTACTCTTATAAAACACTACAGTACACTGAATTTTTATTACAAGATGCAGCATATTTAATTCTGTATTCAATTATCTTTACACATGATTAATTTTTTTTTTTTTTTTTACTAGGGTGATGTTACTTAATAAGCTGCAGGAGGATGGAGTAGCATTATGCCGTAAGGGCCGCTTGAAAGAGGCTGCCCACCGCTTCTCTTATGCCCTTCGCAAGCTGCCAACTGGAGATCAGGGCGAACACACGGCCACCTTTACTCATCTCCGTCTACACCTTACACTCAATCTCTCACGCTGCAAAAGAAAAATGAATGTAAGTTAAAATTTAATTCAATTAAATCCTGATTATTCAACACTCCAAATAATTGATTCAGTTGTTAGTGACTTCATGGTTAAAATATAATGCTTGAGATTTAGTTTGTTGCCATGTATATCTGCATTATACATTAGATCATAGGAAGACTTTATATTCATGGATGCATTATGCAAACAATAGCATATACAGTATATGCCAGCAAGAGTTGTCAGGATAGACACGGTAGGAGAAAGACGAGGTATCTTAGCATGAACAAAAATGTTATATATACAGTATATATAGAACAAATTATCATGGCTTTTGAGTGAGGATGCTGGTATTGAGTGAGGATGCTGGTAAAAAAAAGATTGTGTTGACACTTGCAGTTTCTATCATAAAAAAATGTTGGGGGGAGAAAATATTTGTGTTTAGAGAAAAATTAAAAGGGGGTATGAATTTGATCAAACATTTATAATACTGTATTGTTGTTAGCCAGCATAGAATCAGTTAAGTACTTAAACTACAAAGATAAACTCAAAACACTCAAACTGTCCTTTTTTTTTGGTCTGGTCAACCAGGATGTTGGATGTGGCTGCTCTCAGCCTGACATGTGGATCACAGCCTGGTTGATCAGGTATCCTTTGGTGGTGTTTAATGAGTTCTCTTAAACACTGTGAGAAGCCAGCTAATTATGCCCCTTACGGATAGAGGGAGAGTGTTGAAAAGTCTTGGGCCTTTGATGTTTATGAGTTCTCTTTCAATGTACCTCTGCATTTCAATGAGGTTATTTTGCACAGCCTGCAATGCCTCCTGGTCTCATGTGATGTTTTTTCCATGTTCATATTTGGAACCAGTCCCTCTAATATTTTCCATGTGTGAACTATTATGTATTTCTCTCGCCTGTGCTCTAAAGAATACAGATTTAAAATTTCTAATCAGTCCCAATAATTTAGATATTTTTTTTCTGAATTAAAATGTGAATTCTAGCTGTATAGTATCTTTCCACACTCTCCTGGTCAGCAATTTCTCCAGCTGTGATCGGGGCTGTTATTATGCAACAATATTCCACTCTAGAGAGCACTAGTGTCTTGAAAAGTATCATTGGTATGGCATACCTTGTTTGAAAGGTTTTTGTTATCCAGTCTGTCCTTTTTCTTGCAGTCGTGATAGCTACTTTATTGTGTTCTTTAAAGTCTTCTGACATGATTACTCCCAGATCGTTTTTTGTGGGGAAACCCCCGTCCGTTCCCTGAAGCTATCTGAACTAATTGGTGCTATATTAGTTTGGGGTCATCAGTCACAGGAGTTCTTATGCCTACCGGGAACCACGAGCCATTTATAACTTTTATAACTACAGTATTAATGTTAATTTGCACAAAGAAATCACATTAATGTGATGTGGCAATAAGAAATTCACTAAGAGCCATGAAGAGGATTCAGACCTATAATGGATCTGGGTACTCCCAAGCACATGCCTTAGACCACTGCACCACGACATGGTCAAAGCAATGCAACCTGGGATTCAATTGAATCCTCTAGACTTCCTGAGGCTTCCACTGAAGCCAAGTCAGGGTTTTCACACATTGTCCCTGTGCACCCTGGGAGTGGTCTAGTGGTCTAAATTTAAACATACCCAGAGCATAGGTCCGAATAATCCTTATGGCTCCTGCTGATTTTATAAAGGAACATTGAGAAAAACTTTCAGACTTGTGCTGACATATAAATGTTGTGTATTTTCAGGAAGTAGAAGAGGCCATCCAGCTAGCAGATACAGCATTGACAATAAAGAGTGACTCATATGAAGCATACTATGCTCGAGCCCGAGCTAAACGTGAAGCAAAGTGAGTGTAGTTATCATGTTATATTTGTCATCACATCATTTTTAACTTAGGGAATTTTATTTAAAAAATAAAATATTTGTAACAGTTGGAATGATGATGTGTGATAAATTTAACTAAGTCTGTCTTGTTTTAATGTATACAGTACTTTCAAACTGCACTTACTGATACATAAATATTAAACAAAATAGTGAAACTCCTGATGTTAATTGTCTTTGCTTGTAGTGCTTTTTGGACAGTTATTAGAGATGGGATTAGGCATTGTTCACAAATACTCTAAAATCATTCACAGTCCTTTCACAATTTTCTCCAAACAGCACTCACTGTGCTGTGCTTCAATTCTCCCCCCACACACATTGAATGTTCTAGATAATTGCATTACAAGAACCATGCTACATTAACAATTAGCCAGGTGAACAGAAAGTCATGCAGAGGGTTAGACATAGAGTAGGCCACCAACTGGTCTTATCAGATCAAAGTGGTCAGTAGGAGGGTGCCAGATTTTCAAGCAGCAGCAGCAGCAGAAGACACAGCCGAAGTAGAAGGCAAAGAAGCCATAGAATCGCAGCAATAATAATTTGATCAATCACAAGTCGAAGTATTGTTTCCTTTTCTTCCTTATTAAATCACATTAATAATTTAATTATAAAACTTGACTTTCAATTCATTTTCAGACAACTGCAGGAGGCTCTTGAAGATGTGAATGAAGCTGTGAGGTTAGCTCCTCAGACTCGTGATGTGCGCCGTGTCCTCATCAAGATTCGTGATGAAATGCAAACAGAGATGGATACCTGTGCTTCTACTGATCTAGCACAACTTCGTCAGCTGGCAGCTTCAGTTGACACCTTGTCTGAAGCTGACCTTCCCATGACTTCTAGCATTCTTTCTGAATCTGGTTACTCTTCCAACATCTAGTCAAAATCTTCAGCTTGCGGCTTAATGGCTCTTTTTGCCAGCTGTCAAATTAAATTTTCCAATAGCAAATAAATATTACACAGTATAGGCTTTTAATTTTATCAGAACTTTGGAGTTATTCTTTCATGATTAAAATTATTTTGAAGAGCATATAAAAATGCAGCAAACAATTTTTAATAATGACCTTGATTTAATAATGTATGCACAGTATGCCAATTCGTGTGCAAATCTCTAAGCCAAGATGTATCCAGAAATGACTTGATAATTATCTTATTTCCATTGTTTATTTGGAGATGCAGATTAACCCTAATAATTCCATTTCAAGAATTCCACTTGATATGAGACGTACCCATAAGATTGCATGAGCCTTGTGAAAAAAACTTTATAGTTCCATGATATCCAATCTTTCCTCAGTAGTATTTGTCTAGAATGTGCTTCAGTGATGTATAAGTAATCTGTTGCATTTAATATTTTTTTTTATCAACAGTATGTATGTATTTTGCTACTTACAAGCAGTGCTTGATTATTTCCATTTGTCTTGTTTTTATTTTCAAAAGGCTCATGTTAGACATTTTATTTCCGGATAGAGACTGTATATCCACACTAATGGTTTGATAACCAATTGTGACTTACCTGAAGAAGCTGAAAGTCTCGCTTCAACAAACCTGCTGAGACTCGCTCGGTGTCAACCTCTTGATTTGGACTCTTGTAAAAATTGTTTTGGAGGCCAGAGCTTTAGCTTTACTGTTTTTGCATATAATTACCTAATCTGGCTCTTCTCTGGCCCCATATATAAATGTGATGTGTCTAGCAGCTTTGATCCTAATGTAGCTCTTCCATAAGCCTTCCTTTTCCCCAAAGAACTTGCAAAATTAAAATGTGAAATGTTACATAGGGGCCAGATTGCTAGTGCACATCGCTGTTAAGGAGAGTGGCTAGACCAGCATGTAGACCCATCAGCCCACTGTCTGTAGTAGGTGTGCTCACTCTCATTCCAGTGTTGCTAAGTACCGTGGCAAAATGACCTATTTTACCACTTAACAAAAATTAAGCATTTTTTTATGATTGTTCCAAACATTTTACATTCAAATTGTTAAAACAATTGACATTTATTTTGCAAATGATGATCATATACATTTCATGGATTTTTCCCTCTACTTGGTAACACTGTATTATCCTGCATGCCGAAGTCGTGGCTCTAACATCCTTCAGATTACTGTACCATCTGTCTTAGTCACCAAGTGAAAAAGTAAATGCTTGTGATATTAGAAAATTAAAAATAAAATAAAAAGTGTGGTTATACCTAGATCAGTATGAAATTCTGAATGTACGTATGACTGTAATTTTTTCATTTGCTTGGAAGCTTAATTATGAATGACTGGGAATGCCTGGATTATGTATGCTAGCTTCCTGTTTGCTTGTGATATATTAATGCCCAACTGTGTTTAGATACCTTATGGTATCACAGAATAAATAAAGAAATCTGTAATATCTGTGATATCATGATGTGATTCATGTAGGAAGGAAGCATGACATAAATGTTTTGATGTTCATTGTGTTTTATAATTTTTCATGTTTTCACTATCATTCAAATGTCCCTAGTATTTTCAGTTCTTCACTGTTATCAATAATCAGTCTTCCAGCATCTAAGTGTTCGTAGCAGTGTGCCTATTGACATGGTCAGTTTTATGCATGTTTATACTTTGTGTTGTGCTTCCATCTTGTTTCCCCCCCGGAGTGTTCCCTTGTGAGTACTGCTCGTGACCTGGCAAGGTGAGAACCAATTTCGTAACCAGAAACCACAGATGCCAGAGCTCATCACCGACATTTCGGGGCTTCAGCAGTGCATGTCTGAAAGAGCCTGCTCTCTGGTTTCTGCTGGTATTGGCTTTTCTCCCCCTGCCTTACTTTTTTTTTTATTTGGCATACTAAGTTAATATTTATTGGCTTTCCGAATTGGCTTCACAGTGTTCACAGTCTACAATAGTCAACTGGATATATCAACTCTGGCATGACCCCACTTATTACAAAAATACAGGTAGACCTCTTTAAATGTGAAAGAGGGCTTTTCTGATTGTACAGACACCATTCCTATATGCTGATATATAGGAAACGTAGGTTAACAGAAAGACTACACAGTTCTTGTGTAGCAGAACATAGAAAATTGGGGTCATTTGCTTAGACTTACTGTGTGAATTCTAAATTCTTCATTGTACAGTAAACATAAGCAAGAAAAAGGTATAGGGATTATGTATAGTATGAATGACGCCCACGGCGGAAGTTGCTAGTCATTTTTAATAGAATTAAGTGATGGTGAGGACAGGCATATAGCAAAATAAAACTTGTATAATGAATGTATAGTGTACAAACACCAATAGCCTTATAATTGACCATTTTTATCAGTGTTTAGAATTTAAGGATGAAACTTTTTACATTGTAATATCAAGCATCTCATAATTGTGATCAAAATTTGTTAGTATTTCCAACAATATCATTAATCTAGGGGCTAATTTCATATCTACAAATGCCTCTGATGTTATAATTTTGACTTTCGTGGAAAAATACCTAATTTTTTGTAAAATCAGTTTTCATGATCTCACTCTTACCATTCTTCTGATCACCTTCACTGCCAAATTTTGTTATTCTAGTATCTCATGTTATGAAATGGTCTGCTATAAAATAAATATATTACGGTTAACATTGTTTTATAATCATTTTCTTGCAAAACTAATTTTCCCTAAAGAATAAATTTATTTATATGCAGTACACACATCCTATCATTCCAGACCCATTGCGATTTTTGCAACTGGCGGGCAAAAATCGCGATTTTCGCCGCTACCGGCCAAAAATAGCACGATTTTCGCCGCTAGCGGCCAAAAACCGTGCGATTTTCGCCGCTACCGGCCAAAAACCATGCGATTTTCGCAGCTGGCGGGCAAAAATCGCGATTTTCACCGCTTCCGGCCAAAAATAGCGTGATTTTCGCCGCTAGCGGCCAAAAACCGTGCGATTTTCGCCGCTAGCGGCCAAAAATCGGGCGATTTTTGCTGCTAACGGCCGAAAACCGTGCTATTTTCGACGCTAGCGGCCAGAAACCATGTGATTTTTGCAGCTGCAGGCAAAAATCGCGCGAATTTCACCGCTACCTGCCAAAAACCGCGCGAATTTCGCCGCTAGCGGCCAAAAACCATGCGATTTTCGCAGCTGGCGGGCAAAAAAAGCGTGATTTTCGCCGCTACCGGCCAAAAACCGCGTGATTTTCGTCGCTAGCGGCCAAAAACCGTGCGATTTTTACAGCTGGCAGGCAAAAATCGCGCGATTTAAGCAGCTACCGGCCAAAAATCGCGCGATTTAAGCCGCTAGCGGCCAAAAATCGTGCAAATTTCGCCGATAGCGGCAAAAAATCGTGCGAATTTCGCCGCTAGCGGCCAAAAATCGCGCGATTTTCGCCGCTAGCGGCCAGAAACTATGCGATTTTTGCAGCTGCCGGGCAAAAATAGCGCGATTTTCTCCGGTGCCGGCCAAAAACCGCCCGATTTTCGCCGCTAGCGGCCAAAAACAATGCGATTTTCGCAGCTGGCGGGCAAAAATCGCGATTTTCGCCGCTACCGGCCAAAAATAGCGCGATTTTCGCCGCAAGCGGCCAAAAACCGTGCGATTTTCGCCGCTAGCGGCCAAAAACCATGCGATTTTCACAGCTGGCGGGCAAAAATCGCGATTTTCGCCGCTACCGGCCAAAAATAGCGCGATTTTCGCCGCTAGCGGCCAAAAACCGTGCGACTTTCGCCGCTAGCGGCCAAAAACCATGCGATTTTTGCAGCTGGCGGGCAAAAATCGCGAATTTCGCCGCTACCGGCCAAAAATAGTGCGATTTTCGCCGCTAGCGAGCAAAAACCGTGCGATTTTTTGCCGCTAGCGGCCAAAAACCATGCGATTTTCGCAGCTGGCGGGCAAAAATCGCGATTTTCGCCGCTACCGGCCGAAAATAGCGCGATTTTCGCCGCTAGCGGCCAAAAACCGTGCGATTTTTACAAAAACCATGCGATTTTCACAGCTGGCGGGCAAAAATCGCGATTTTCGCCGCTACCGGCCAAAAATAGCGCAATTTTCGCCGCTAGCGGCCAAAAACCGTGCGATTTTCGCCGCTAGCGGCCAAAAACCATGCGATTTTCGCAGCTGGCGGGCAAAAATCGCGATTTTCGCCGCTACCGGCCAAAAATAGCGCGATTTTCGCCGCTAGCGGCCAAAAACCGTGCGATTTTCGCCGCTACCGGCCAAAAACCATGCGATTTTCGCAGCTGGCGGGCAAAAATCGAGATTTTTGCCGCTTCCGGCCAAAAATAGCGTGATTTTCGCCGGTAGCGGCCAAAAACAGTGCGATTTTCGCCGATAGCGGCCAAAAATCGGGCGTTTTTTGCCGCTAACGGCCGAAAACCGTGCTATTTTCGACGATAGCGGCCAGAAACCATGTGATTTTTGCAGCTGGCCGGCAAAAATCGCGCGAATTTCCCCGCTACCTGCCAAAAACCGTGCGATTTTCGCCGCTACCGGCCAACAACCATGCGATTTTCGCAGCTGGCGGGCAAAAATCGCGATTTTCGCCGCTTCCGGCCAAAAATAGCGTGATTTTCGCCGCTAGCGGCCAAAAACCGTGCGATTTTCGCCGCTAGCGGCCAAAAATCGGGCAATTTTTGCCGCTAACGGCCGAAAATTGTGCTATTTTCGACGCTAGCGGCCAGAAACCATGTGATTTTTGCAGCTGGCAGGCAAAAATCGCGCGAATTTCACCGCTACCTGCCAAAAACTGCGCGATTTTCGCCGCTAGCGGCCAAAAACCGCGTGATTTTCGCCGCTAGCGGCCAAAAATCGCGCGATTTAAGCTGCTAACGGCCAAAAATCGTGCAAATATCGCCGCTAGCGGACAAAAATCGTGCGAATTTCGCCGCTAGCGGCCGAAAATCGCGCGATTTTCGACGCTAGCGGCCAGAAACTATGCGATTTTTGCAGCTGCCGGACAAAAATAGCGTGATTTTCTCCGGTGCCGGCCAAAAACCGCGCGATTTTCGCCGCTAGCGGCCAAAAACCATGCGATTTTCGCAGCTGGCGGGCAAAAATCGCGATTTTCGCCGCTACCGGCCAAAAATAGCGCATTTTTCGCCGCTAGCGGCCAAAAACCGTGCGATTTTCGCTGCTAGCGGCCAAAAACAATGCGATTTTCGCAGCTGGCGGGCAAAAATCGCGATTTTCGCCGCTACCGGCCAAAAATAGCACGATTGTCGCCGCTAGCGGCTAAAAACCGTGCGATTTTCGCCGCTACCGGCCAAAAACCATGCGATTTTCGCAGCTGGCGGGCAAAAATCGCGATTTTTGCCGTTTTCGGGCCAAAATAGCGTGATTTTCGCCGCTAGCGGCCAAAAACTGTGCGATTTTCGCCGCTAGAGGCCAATAATCAGGCGTTTTTTGCCGCTAACGGCCGAAAACCGTGCTATTTTCGACGACAGCGGCCAGAAACCATGTGATTTTTGCAGCTGGCCGGCAAAAATCGCGCGAATTTCCCCGCTACCTGCCAAAAACCGTGCGATTTTCGCCGCTACCGGCCAAAAACCATGCGATTTTCGCAGCTGGCGGGCAAAAATCGCGATTTTCGCCGCTTCCGGCCAAAAATAGCGTGATTTTCGCCGCTAGCGGCCAAAAACCGTGCGATTTTCGCCGCTAGCGGCCAAAAATCGGGCGATTCTTGCCGCTAACGGCCGAAAACCGTGCTATTTTCGAAGCTAGCGGCCAGAAACCATGTGATTTTTGCAGCTGGCAGGCAAAAATCGCGCGAATTTCACCGCTACCTGCCAAAAACCGCGCTATTTTCGCCGCTAGCGGCCAAAAACCATGCGATTTCGCAGCTCGCAAAAATCGCTGATTTTCGCGGCGGCCAAAAACCGCGTGATTTTCGCCGCTAGCGGCCAAAAACCGCGCGATTTAAGCCGCTACCGGCCAAAAATCGCGCGATTTAAGCCGCTAGTGGCCAAAAATCGTGCAAATTTCGCCGCTAGCGGCCAAAAATCGTGCGAATTTCGCCGCTAGCGGCCGAAAATCGCGCAATTTTCGACGCTAGCGGCCAGAAACTATGCGATTTTTGCAGCTGCCTTGCAAAAATAGCGCGATTTTCTCCGGTGCCGGCCAAAAACCGCGCGATTTTCGCCGCTAGCGGCCAAAAACCATGCGATTTTCGCAGCTGGCGGGCAAAAATTGCGATTTTCGCCGCTACCGGCCAAAAATAGCGCGATTTTCGCCGCTAGCGGCCAAAAAACGTGCGATTTTCGCCGCTAGCGGTAAAAAAAACCATGCGATTTTCGCAGCTGGCGGCAAAAATCGCGATTTTCGCCGCTACCGGCCAAAAATAGCGCGATTTTCGCCGCTAGCGGCCAAAAACCGTGCGATTTTAAAAAAACCATGCGATTTTCGCAGCTGGCGGGCAAAAATCGCGATTTTCGCCGCTACCGGCCAACAATAGCGCGATTGTCGCCGCTAGCGGCCAAAAACCGTGCGATTTTCGCCGCTAGCGGTAAAAAAAACCATGCGATTTTCGCAGCTGGCGGGCAAAAATCGCGATTTTCGCCGCTACCGGCCAAAAATAGCGCGATTTTCGCCGCTAGCGGCCAAAAACCGTGCGATTTTTACAAAAACCATGCGATTTTCGCAGCTGGCGGGCAAAAATCGCGATTTTCGCCGCTACCGGCCAAAAATAGCGCGATTTTCGCTGCTAGCGGCCAAAAACCGTGCGATTTTCGCCGCTAGCGGCCAAAACCATGCGATTTTCGCAGCTGGCGGGCAAAAATCGCGATTTTCGCCGCTACCGGCCAAAAATAGCGCGATTTTCGCTAGCGGCCAAAAAGCGGCCAAAAACCATGCGATTTTCGCAGCTGGCGGGCAAAAATCGCTCGCCGCTACCGGCCAAAAATAGCGCGATTTTCGCCGCTAGCGGCCAAAAACCGTGCGATTTTCGCCGCTACCGGCCAAAAACCATGCGATTTTCGCAGCTGCCGGGCAAAAATCGCGATTTTCGCCGCTTCCGGCCAAAAATAGCGTGATTTTCGCCGCTAGCGGCCAAAAACCGTGCGATTTTCGCCGCTAGCAGCTGGCCAAAAATGCCGCTTTCGGCCAAAAATAGCGTGATTTTCGCCGCTAGCGGCAAAAATTTTTGCCGCTAACGGCCGAAAACCGTGCTATTTTCGCCGCTAGCGGCCGAAAACCATGTGATTTTTGCAGCTGGCGGCAAAAATCGCGCGAATTTTGCCGCTACCTGCCAAAAACCGCGCGATTTTCGCCGCTAGCGGCCAAAAACCATGCGATTTTCGCAGCTGGCGGGCAAAAATCGCGCGATTTTCGCCGCTACCGGCCAAAAACCGCGTGATTTTCGCCGCTAGCGGCCAAAAACCGTGCGATTTAAGCCGCTACCGGCCAAAAATCGCGCGATTTAAGCCGCTAGCGGCCAAAAATCGTGCAAATTTCGCCGCTAGCGGCCAAAAATCGTGCGAATTTCGCCGCTAGCGGCCAAAAACCGCGCAATTTTCGCCGCTAGCGGCCAGAAACCATGCGATTTTTGCAGCTGGCTTGCAAAAATAGCGCGATTTTCTCCGCTGCCGGCCAAAAACCGCGCGATTTTCGCTGCTAGCGGCCAAAAACCATGCGATTTTCGCAGCT